TGTTTCTGTCCAGCTTCATGATACTGCTGAATATCATGGTGTGTTTTAATTGTAGTACTTGTTTTAATTTAATTTTTTATTTATCAGGATGTATTTTCCTATTTTGAATATTTCTGTAACGCTGTATACATCGTAATTTTCATTTTAAATAATTAATCATTATCTTGATCGTTGTTCCAATATACACTGCATTTGCTTCTACAATGTTTATATATATATCAAATATTTAGTTGCATGTTTTCCTGAAAAATCAATTAAGATAAAACGATGTCGACAGTGAAGACCTTTTCAAATAAAATTACTCATAATTCTAAATATTTTAAATATCTCCTATATCAAATGTACGGATGATTTACGATGTTGTCGATGGCTACCGTATGTGGTACCGTAGTGTATAAATCGTTAATCAAAACTGTCAGAAATCTCTTAAGACGTTCGATGGAAGATAGTTCGGTGTCGTCGTCGTCGTACACGAAAAACACGAAACCCCCATGAGCATGTTATGTGAAATATGATATTTGAACCAATATTTGGATTTTAGATGTAAAATGTCACAGCTAAGTAACTAATTAGTAATTCTACTTTATATTAATCTTAATCAAGGCAAATATAGTTAAGACAAAATTATTGTTTTAGTACATTTTTAACTTCCCGTAGGGTAAGTTTTAGTAATCACAAGAAATCGAACAAATGAATCGATGATTTTTTTTAAATATCTTACGTTTTAAAGGTTTCTGAACATTTTAGCATATCTTGGAAAAATGTATGTAGTGTGTGTGCGTGTGCGCGTGCGTGTATGTATATGCAAATATAATTTTTTGTCGACAATTTTGAGACAGGTCCGGTTCAGCCGTTTCGAAGATACTGGACAAAAAGTTTATTATATTTGGAGAGAACGGAGCGTCCGATTTGAATGATTCATGAACTGATAAAATTCTTGCAAAGGCAGGTTCAGCGTTTCGGAGATCCAACGCAAAAAACAGAAAAAGAATATATAATATATTTGAATTAAAATTAAAATAATTATCAGATATTTTATGGAAATTTTAATAACCGTTAACTGCTACGTGGTGCTTACGCGCTTCGATTTTTCGTCTCTAAACGGCTATGCAGTGCTAGTGGTTCAAAAAATTCCAATTATAAAAAAAAAATTCAACTAGTGGGGCGCATGTCATCGTGCCTTAAGCAAATTGCTGGAACTTCCCGTACCAAAAGATTAACATTTTTAAAAAATATTTACTCTGACAAAGTTAGATTTTTGAGAAACTATAAATTTTTGACAAAAATTTACTTTTTTTTGAAAAAAAAAGTAAATTTTTTGAAGAAAAATTTATTTTGAAATATTTTGGAAATTCTGAACTTTTTTTCAAAGCAATCGTACTGCTTTAACTGCATAGAGACGAAATATCGAAGCGCGTAAGCGTCGCGACGCCGTCTAATGGATAAACATTGGTACGGAACCCATAGAAATGTAAACAAAATGTATACTTATTGTTAAAATCTCTAAAAAATATTTGATAATTAGATGTTAGATGATTAGATTATATGTCTAATGATCACTTTTGACCGCCAGATGGCATTTTTTTTACTTTTTTCACTAGATCTCCGAAACCGCTAGACCTGCCTTTATGAAAATTTGATCAATTTTTCACCTTATCAATACAAGTAAAATGTTTTTTGAATTATTCAAACGGACGCTCCGTTCTCTAAAAACTGAGTTAATGTTTTTGGCAGTTTTTGCCCCATATCTTCGGAACGGCTAGACCTGCCTTTGCCAAAAACTAATCACCACGTCTTCTTATCAATACGAATCGAATTATTCAAATCGCTTCATCCGTGTTCTCGAAATTGTCGACGAAAAATTGTATCCGAACCCACACACATACACACACATACATCCATTTTTTCTACGGTATGCCAAAATGTTCAGAAGATTTTGAAACGTAAAGATTATATAAAAATTTCATTTTCGATGTTTTTTCGATTACTATAACTTGCCCTACGGGAAGTTAAAAATAAAAATTCAGATTTTTTAAAAAGTCTAATTTTTTCAAAATTTTAAAAATTCTAATTTTTTCAAAGATTTAAAAAAATATTACGCTTTTAAACATTTTAAATTACGGTATGGGAAGCTTCAACAATTTGCTTTAAGGGGCATGTGCCAAATTTTCAAAATATTTCAAAAACCAAAGTTAATTTTTCAAAATTCTCAAAAAACTATAAGTAAATCTAAGTTTCACCTTTTCAAAATTTTAAATTACGTTATAGGAAGTTTCAACAATTTGCTAAGGCATGTTGCCATGCACTTCTAGTTTAATATTAAATGTTGCAGAATATTTAATTGAAAATATAGATCAGTAAATATATTTTTAGGTGTAGATAGACCTCAGGCATTGCTGCACAAAAAGAAAGTGAATAAGTGAATATTAAAATGAATATAATAGTGGTCCTGAGCACTATTCACCATGATCAGGATCAGGCTAGGATATGGAAATTAAAACAATGTATGTGAAAAATCAACCAATCAATACTTCAATGAAGAGGTATGTAATAGTATAAGTTTAAAAATAAAGTGCATGAAAAAAAAAAAAATTTATAAAAGGCGATTTTTATCAATTTTTGTCTATGTACACGACTAGTTCATCGTTAATCGTTTTTCTGGAACATGTGTGGTTATTTCGAAAGTCGAGTTCAAGTTTTCAACACGTACGGCGCGTTATCGCGGACGAGATTTTTCAATGTGAGATTTTTCGATGCATCTTCTCCCTAGCAGCCCTGTCTCTTTTTTCACCATACGTATGTGTTGCTTTTTTTTCGAACGGATTCGATCTGTGATTGCTTAATTTTTATGTGAGAGTGACATCTATAACACGAAATAAATCCAATGTCAATATTAAACCTCGGTTATTATGATCTAGAGATGTTTTTATATAGTAGCATATTTAAATGAGGAGCACCCTAACTTGAGGATGGATGCGTTGTTTTAGTATGGTTTTACGGAAGCACCAAAATAGGTAAAAGAACATATTTGAATACATATGAAATCAGCATATGAATATTTGATTAACAGAACTTAGCACACTGATTACATGTGTATGTATTTGAATGAGTAAATGATCAAAAAATGACTTTAGTATCGATTGAAATAATTCTAAGGATTAAATATAAGGTTGTCAAATATCTCTCTTCCGCCGTTTTGTATTATAAACCAAGAGCAAAAAAGCGGAAGGGAGATATTTGACAACCTAATAACATCTCTCTAACTAGGTGTATGCACTAGGTGTAAGTGCTTAAGGTGCATAAGGTGTAAAAACTTATCGATATATGTATAGAATCGACTTAATCTGTAAGAATTAATATTAATCATACACGGTGTAGGTCCTGTTTTAGGTCCACTATAACAAACTTTAATGAATTTTATACTTAATTCACTATTCGTAGGCTTATAACATTTTAGAATGCTTTTTTTTAAATATAGTAATTTTTACATCTGTCCTGGAATAGTATAACAAATAACACTGTAGAAATAAAAAAAGACTCTGAAAATAAAAAATCTTCTGACTGTTGTCATAGATTTTGAAAAATTGACATATGGTAATGTAGCATGAATTTCTTTTTCAATTTGTTCTTGTAGTGTTGTGGGTTTGGATGATCCTCGAGGCGGCTTTTGTAATTGTTTGAATGTGGCTCTATTTATTATAAAATTATTGTCTTGCTTTAAATGTTTTTAAATTTTCAAAGTCGGTTCAGGACTTTTAGCTAAAGCGTGCATGAAAAAAATTGGCACTTATTTACTAATTATAGAAAAACGGCTCGGCCGATCGTCTCGAAAAACAAATCTACGAGAGTATTTATCGAGTTTCATCAAATGACCTTAATTTTTGACCAAAAAAATATATTAGTACCCCAAAGATCTTTCAACTGTTAAGTCAACGCAAATGAATATTAATATTTTTCAGGCGTGATTTATTATTTCATCAAAATATTTTGTCTTTGATAAAATTCAAATTGCCATTTTCGAAATATTATTTATATTATTGCTATTATAATTTTATCATGAGCTCTGTAACTCATAGAGAGAGAGAGTGCCATTTGATTCTACAATTATATAATTTTGTTTTACATCACATGCTACGAATTATATTTACGTTGAGTTATTATACAATATTATAGATTTTTATGATATATCTTATTTGACTGAATATCTCATAAGAAAATAAAAAAACAGTCGTCCAGTACAAACCAAGTCTGACGATTACAACAAACTTATTGCTATTTTCAACAATTAGAATAATTACAAACATTATAATATATTTACTAATCCTAAAAATAAAATATACTAAAAATGGCTGCTTATAGCTTATTCCATATTTAAGTAACATTAATACAAAAATGACGATAAATACAAAAATGTAATTTTTACATCATTCGTTAAGTAGTATTAAAATATAATTATTAGAAGTATACATATACTTCGCATAGTATTCTACTATAATTAATTATTTTAATAGAAAAATGATTGACAAGTTTAAATTTTTCTTCCGTGGGTTATTTTCCACATGCTTCAACTTTCATAAAAGTGCTCAGGTGTGTTAATCGCCAAAAGTGTGTTCCGAATTTCCGAGCCACAAACACTAATTTGTCGTTCATCTTTCGTAGAGCACGGAGCACGATCTCCGTTAATTTTCCGCCGTTGATGCGCCTTAAATGGTTACAATGCATTGCGTAACATATTATTATAATCAGCTCGAAAAGGGTAGGCGTGACTTAATACTTACACTTTTAATGTAGATGAAATAAAACATAACCAAAATGAAGTGATCCCGTACGAAAAAAGGATACGCATCCAGCTCATTATATCTGTCCCTGTTTTCCCCACGTGCATCTGACTATCATTATGTGAGCTGGGTTATGACAACCATGCGTCTACGCACTTTACACAAACATAAATATCATTAGGATTATCCTTCGCTTTATGATGAAGTTATCAGTATCTCTGCGACAGGGAAAAGATGCACATGACCCAAATATTGTGCAAGTGAAATATTAGTGTACTTTTAACAGTGAGTGATTTTATAAGATAGAACTATGTACGTGGATTTTTTAACTGGCATGTGCCTCCAAGAGGATAACCAGCAAAACTTGCAGCCTTTGCCCGGTTTCAACCAATTTACTGACCGGTACAATTGCGCGCCCTTAGACCATTACAATATACCGCTCGAACAATTAACCCCCATGTCGCCGCCTGTCGATGATTACGGAACGTATAACATTCAAATAGATTATTGCAATTTAGACTCAACACCACAAGAATTAAATTTTTCATCAACTTTCATCGACACACCGGCACCGGACTCGCCACCGAACGGTGGTGTATTCCGTTTCGCACCTGAAGACATAGAACGCTACCACCACCAGAATTCGACGTACAATGACAACAATCTTTTGATGCAAGATAAAACGTACTTAGACGATGGTTCGCAAAATTCATTCCTATACAATGCCGATTGCATGAATTTGCTTTCGCCGGACGAGAAATTGTCATTTTCGGAAGAAGAGAACGTAACTACGGACATTGGCCAGCAGGAAGAAATGCAATGCAGATGGATGGATTGTCATTTAGTATTTAGTGATCGGCGGACGCTTGTTGGACACATTGAAAAGACGCATGTGAAGTGTGGAAAAGCTGAGGAGTACTCGTGCCTGTGGTTAGGATGTCTGAGGAGCAAACGACCGTTCAATGCGAGGTACAAGCTGCTGATCCACATGCGCGTCCACTCGGGAGACAAGCCGAACAAATGTCCGGTGAGTAGTAATAATAAAATTTCTTTATAATAAACTTATTAATATTTTATTTGATTCAGTTTTATAAAAGATATATATTGCTATATATTGTTAAAAAAATGTCCTTAAACTATTTTCTTCGTGAATTTCTAATTTTATAAGTAGTGAATTACGAAAGTGGTAATTTTTGATTAACTTTGGTCGTTAATATTCGTTTTGAAATTCATAACTACATATCATGCAATGTCCCTCGTTGCAATTACAAACATTACTTGTTATTCGTGCGGATGTGATCGTGCATACATCATTCCGCGTACGCAAACATGTGCGCCAGTCCGCCGGGCAGGCATCGTGACCCGTATAAGATAAAAAACGTTTAGCGGAAAAAAATGTTTGAAAAAAATGTAAGCAAAAGAAAAACATATATAATCTTGTTGCAGCAGCATACGATCGTTCTAAAGCAGCGTACACCCTATTTGTGAGCGATGAATGTTTTTTGTTAACCACCTAACGCGAAAGCTCACTTCGATAACTCCCTTGCAACGGCTGTCGCCCATGTGTCGTGACCGTTGACATAACCAAGTGCAAGTGCATTGACCCTTTTCTAATTATTTATATATTAATATTTGCATCGCATTTGCCAGTTTTACGTAGACTTTTGAAAATTTTAAACTGAACGTAAACATATTATTTCAATTGAATCTATTTTTTTATCAGTACTCAGACTATTCATTATCGATATGTACGATAAATTGATTACGAATTTAAAAATCTTACTAATTGTATTTTTCATACTGATATTCTTCACAAATAAGTTTTTTCAATACCATGCTCGAATATTAGAAGTCATAAGTCATTAGAAGTCATTAATCAATATTAACCTTTTTAATTCTATTTTCCGAAAATTAACGAACCCTAAAATTATTTATTTACTAAAAATGTCAAAAAAAACTTAGTGAAGTATCCAATAACGACTTTTATTGCAGTCAACATATATTTTCAAGAATAAAATGAAAAGTTAAAACGAGTATAACTAGAAATAAGTTAGGCCTAAAAATTAAAATTATTTTGTTCAATTGACAATAATTTGAGAAATTAAAATAAAACAACATATTATTAAAATTTTGAGCTTTGATAAAAAGATGATAAAAAAGTGGTGAATAATAGTAAACTCTCCATAAGTAAATATTTGATTCAACTTTTCTGTATATTTCCATTTTTTGTCAAAATTATCTTAAAAATTTTCATACTTTTCTAATCTATGATGATTTATGTAATATCAATTATTTCCACACTTTGTCTTTTGATACAGTGCTTATTTTACGCAGATTCTTCTGTCGACTAAAAGTTCTATAAATGTCATCTTCGTAAAATTTTTAAAACTAAAAAAAAAACGCTGTATCAAAAGACAATAAAGAATGAAATCATTGATATTACATGAATCATCATAAATTGGAAAAGTTTTGAAAGGAATTTTTAAGATAATTTTGACAAATAATGGAAATATACAACAGAAATGTTAAATCAAATATTATTAATGGAGAGTTTACTATTATTCACCACTTTTTTATCATCTTTTTATGAAAGCTCAAAGTATTAATAATATGTTGTTTTATTTTAATTTTTAGGCCTAACTTATTTTTAGTAATACTCGTTTATAGAGAGTTTACTATTATGCATCATTTTATCTTTTCATCCAAGCTCTAATATTTTACAATATCCTACTACTACTATCTCTATAAATATATAAAGATATAAAAAATAACGCCAGGAAGCTTTTCTCTTCTTATATTTATCTATATTGAGGGACTTAACTTATACACTAATATAAAATACTTTTTAATTACGATACAAATCTTATATATTTGTAATATTAAATTAATTGAAATTCATTAGTTAATGATATTTATTTATTGTTTCTTACTTTTCAGTTCAATGGTTGCGACAAGGCGTTCTCGAGGCTGGAGAACTTGAAGATTCACCAGCGCTCCCACACTGGCGAGCGTCCGTACGGCTGCCAGTACGCCGGATGCCGGAAGGCCTTCAGCAACAGCTCGGACCGCGCCAAACACCAGAGGACGCACTTTGACACGGTGAGTGGAATACTACACTATGACGATATTATTGATTTACTCATGTCGACTTTATAGTAAAACTGCAGGTGTATAGCATCTTGACTTATCACTGGAAATGCAATATTACAATTTAAATTTGATAATAAAATTACCCAATAAGCAACAAATCTGACCTTCATTACTTTTGTTACTAAAAAATATTAATTTACTCAAGTTAATTGAACTCTGATTGTTGGAACAAGCTGTGTACAATAAAAAAAACTCAAGTTAAACGATGTAATACTTTCAATATATGCACTTGACTTTACTGTAATCCTCGAGGAGAATATGTCATGGTGCCTTAAAGCAAATTGTTGGAACTTTAGGATTTGAATGTAAAATTAATATTAGAAAAATTAATCAACAAGCAAGACCTCGCACGGCATGATATCATTTTTTTTTGTTAACTTCAATATGTTACATCTGCTAAATAACATCTAGTAACACTAGATATATAAATAAAATATAATACAAAATAAAAGACAGTGTTTCCATTGAAATGATATCAATATGAAGGTAATTTAATATAAATATAATAATTTAAAATAAAAAGCAAACAATGATAATAATAAAATTAATAAATAAAATTAATGAAATTTGTGAATAATAGAAATAATATGATATGATATCAAATAAAAGAGGAAAGGTGATTTTAAATTTGCAGATAGAAATAAAAAACGAAAAATGATTATGTTATTATCAATCAGATTTTCTTAAATATAGATAAAATGAATTTTTTTCTTGAATAATTTTTTTGAAAAATCAATATTGGTATTCATATTGTCTACTTCTATGAAATCAAATAATGATATAATTCCAACATTTCTGTGGGGGCGTTCATTAATCACGTGAGGTTTTTAGGGGGAGGGGGGATTTGACAAAAAATCACGAAAAATCACGTGGGAGAGGGAGGGGTATAGTAAGCTAATATTGTATTTAGTGTATTTATTTTTAACTGATTTAAAAAAAATTAAACATTTTCAAAAAAAAATAAAAAATTTTACAGTTTTATCACGAAACTAAAAATACACGTGATGTTTGGTGGGGGAGGGGGGTAATTTTGAATATTACCATGAATCACCAAGGGGGGGGGTGGTTCAAAAATCCTTAAAAACAATCCTATTCAAATTATTATGATTTTAATATTATGTAAAATAGCATAATAGAAACCAGAAACTAGAATAATGATAACAAATCTGGAAAAGACAAACTGGAAATTTTATATATGAATGCAATGGCAGTTCTTTAAATATAGCGAAAGCAATTAGCCTTTACTCATTCAATATGTGATTGATAGAATGCTCTTTAAATGGTGCAATACAATTCTATAAGTACTAAAAAGAGATTATATAGGCGAAGAAAATTAAAAAATAATTAATGAAAATGATCTAAAAATGCTTCGATGAAGGAATATTTCCGTCTCACCTCAAGCATTCAAAGATTTTTCCACTTCATAAGAAAAATAATAAAGATGATATAAATAATTACCGTCCCATTTCCCTCTTGAACTCTTTCGATAAAATAATTGAAAAAATCTTGCATACTAGGTTAACGTCTTTTCTCAATAAATATAATATTTTGTTCAAGAATCAGCATGGTTTCCGAAAGAACCATTCTACTTCCCACTCAATTTATAATTTAGTTCATAACATCATTGACTCCTTCGAAGAAGCCACATATTGTACTGCGATATTTTGCGATCTGTCCAAGGCTTTCGATAGTATTTCTCATCAAAGACTTCTTGACAAATTAGAAAATTGTGGTATTCGCGGACGTTCGCTCAAACTATTTAAATCTTACCTGTCAAATCGAACACAAAGCGTTTACTTAATTAACGATCACGAGCAAATAATTTCGGATAAATTGACAAGTACATTGGGCGTGCCCCAAGGATCAATTTTAGGGCCTCTCTTATTTCTCATATATATTAATGATTTACCTCATTGTACAAATCTTTGTGATTTTATTCTTTTTGCGGATGATACCAGCGTTATCATCAAGGCCAAATCTCTTAATGAATTACACATAAATTAAGCGTGGTTATGTCAGAAATAACGAAATGGTTTTGTGAAAATAATCTAGTTCTCAATAATGATAAGACCAAATCATATCTTTTTGTACAAAAAATCGTTTATCCAATAATATTACTTCTTTAACCATCAATAATTCAACACATAATTTTTCGCAAATATCAAAGTTTCTTGGTATCCATATTAATAATAATTTAAAGTGGTCTAATCATATCTCTATTTCACTATAACCAACCTTATCTAGAACATGTTTCATGTTGCGCACCCTAAAACCCAAACTTGGTTTAAATTGCTTACTTTCAGTTTATTATAGCAACTTTTATTCTCACGTTTCATACGGCATTCAATTCTGGGGTTTTCATCCGAACTAATTAAAATTTTTAAGCTTCAGAAAAGAGCTATTCGAATAATTTTTTCCTTGCCCAGTAAAGCCTCCTGCAGACCCATATTTAAAAAATACAATATTCTAACTGTCCCATGCATTTTTCTGCTGGTAACATTAACTTTCATCAAAAACAATTCGAAACTTTTTGATATGGCTTCGTCCTCAAATTACAACACTAGACACAAACCTATTAAGGCGCGTACATATAAATTAGCCAGCTCTTTCAATACGATCGACGGTCTAGGTATTCAGCTTATGAATAAACTTCCACTCAATATCCGAAACTTAGACAGCAAAAAATTTCATGCTTCCCTAGTTAAACTTTTTAAAGACATAGCTTTTTATGACATTACTGAATTTTCTCAATTTGATTTCAATAACTATTTTCTTGCATAATCCTTATCCTGTATCTATGTAGTCTGACCATTTGATCGCCTGTACAACCATTATTTTTTTTCTTTTTTTTATTGCTATTTTATTAATTTAATTTTTTACGGTTTTAAATGAGTATAACTTTCAACCTTGTGCAAGAATTTTGAGCTTGACTGGTGGTCAAATAGACTTTAATATGATGAACTTGATGATGAACATTGTATTTAATGTTCGAATGCTTTTTTTCAGCTCTTTTTTTTCAGAAGCGAAATTCGTGCAGCTACTATGATTATTATAAAATTACTATTCTTTTAATATTAACTATGAATAAGCATGACAAGAGCCTAATATATCTATTATTATGATTACGGCTTGCTTATGAATAAATAAAAAATAAATAAATAATAGATAAAAATGTAGCCAAAATCAAATTCCTTGCAATCTCAATTATTAAATTATTAATAAACGTGTATCAATAGCGCGTATTATAAAAGTTAGCACGTGCTGTTTGTTTAGTATTAATGAAATATAAGCTCCTTTCGATTCCTATCATTATATTCGTATCGTCGTGTATTCAGTACTTTTGTTTATTCAAGCTTTATTAATATTTAGTGAGAAAGCTAACATTGAAAAATATTTTGAATCACGTCAGGCAATTTAATTAATTATAATCAACTTGGAGACTTTTGTAATTGTTCTTTGAATCATAATTTAATAAGTACGGTTTTAAAATTACTTTATTTCTAAGATACATTTACAACTGTTCACATATAACAAAGGATATTCAGTAAATCTATTGGCTGTAAAAATGTAGAGTTTCATACTGAAAATATATATAGGTGCTAAAAAAATGCACAAATGCATTTACATAGGTAATTACATATAAACTAAACTCAAAAATTTTTTTTAATATTGCAATTAAATTTAAGGGTAGTAAGAAATATAAAAAAGTTATTTTATCATTTTACTACACCATTAGTTTAACTTTGTCTGCGACGCTCTCGATTTTCCATTATAAATACTTTACTTCCATATAGTCGCAAACTTGAAAACTACGCGCGACAGCCGAATAAATAAAAAAGTGCTTGAATGGGTTTTGGGATAAGGGGCTGTTATGTTTATGGGCTTCAGTTATTTATAATGTTCCTCGTCTTAAAGATAAGAAGGCATTTAATTGATGGCTGCCACTTGACGTTTGATATCCATGTGCTTGTGACATATTAATATACAGGAGTCGATAACTACTCGACATTTATTATTTAACCGTTTGACCCGAAACTATATTATGCAGAAAACTTTCCTTGCGCTATCCGACTCGATAAAGCTTCGTAATCATAAGGGGAAATATAAGATAATAGACAACTATTAAATTAAAGCAATAATTAACCCTTAAAAATAAAATAAAGTTTAGTTGTTAAATTTTTAACACCAAGCATCTAATGTAAGTGTTGTTTATACAACCAGTGGTTTCAGCAATTTGCTTTAACTCGAGTTAATATGCACAACCAGTTGCTTTTATTATGTCAATTTTTATACACAATGGTCATAATATAAACCTCAAAGTGAATATTTTCTTTTAATTTTCAGAAACCCTATGCGTGTCAGGTACCCGGTTGCAGCAAAAGATACACCGACCCTTCGAGTCTCCGCAAACACGCCAAGTTGCACGGTCTCAGGTCAGCTTCAACCTCCAACGACTCCGTCCCCGTCGAACAGAAGAAAATTCAACCCTCGCCTGATGATTTTATCCCAAAAACTTATATGGAAAATAATCTTGAAAGTACCAGCTTAGATATTTTAGATGCACTCGACATGGATGATGTTTCCAATTGCCTATTTACCATTGAACAAGAACAGGAGGAATATGTTCCTTTCGATTCCGTGAGACACTTATTAGATGAACATATAGGTTTTCTCGATAATGCACTGGATTACGATGAAGCTATACTTTGATACGTGATATAATAGTATCAGATTTAAATTATAAGTTAAAGTTTGAAGCTGGTGATGAGAATTTAGTAAACAATGATCGTTTTGTTTCGAACAAATAAAATTCAGCCTACTTCTGGTGATCGTATTTCGAAAACTAAAAACTTCTAGATGCACTCAAACGACCTATATGACGTTTCCACTGGATTACGATAAAGAAATACTTTGATATGTGATATGATATTATCAAAATCAAAGTATAGGTTATAGCTTAATTCTGGTGATGAGAATTATTTTCGTTTTCTTTCCAATAATTTTGTAAAAGGACGTGTCTCACTTATAAATTCATATCGCCTCAACTGCACGTCTAATATAACTCCCAAGTGTTTATTACAATGGTACATACTTAAATATTTGAAAAGCTCGAAAAGTTTTAGCTTAATTATGCATATTCTCCTATATAAATAGAAATATGAACATATTTGAACCAAAAGAACCAAATATTTGATTAGATCGTATAGTTTCGAAGTTTTAATTATTTAAATGTAAATATTTTTAGAATAATGCTTTCTAGTTATCGTTCCGAATACGTGCAATTTTTTACGTACTTAGTTACTGTTACCAAATATTACTTAATTATGTTTTGTTACTTGTTTTGGAAAATATCATAAATATTTTATATAGAGAATAAAAATATGTGTGATAAAAAAAATGATGCGACCAAATTTCCATACAATCAATGACTTATTGTTAGAGTTATATTATATTAGTACTGAGTTTATTTTAAATGATGCATTTATTTCGAAATAAGTTTTATTAATAGTTGTTGAATCTTCCATTTATATAAAAATCGTGATAAGTACTTAAGATTTTGTAATAGACTGTATATATATATATATATAAAATATATTTTTATAGTTCTAAAAATATTGGAGATATATAAATTGAATATAATATATATATATATATATATATATATAAGATTCGTTATAATTTATAGTTTATAGTTTAACATTAAATTTCTGCCAAAAATACATTAACTTTACAAGTAAACTAAAGTAAAATTTAAATCTAAATAATTTAAATCGTAATCAAAATAGATATTTGTAAAATAATGCAAATAAACACTTACGAATAAGGATAATGGTGTAATATTCTATATTATATACAGTGGTGGAAATACGCATAATCTTATATATGAAGGGCAGAAGTCAATTTTCCCGGTATGTTGTTAAGTTGTAAAAGCCTCCCTTTTGTAATAAAAATTATTCAACTCACACATAAAATATGTTCCGAGATGTTGAATAGAGCAATGTTGATCTATATAGTGCCTATAATAATATTTGACTTGATGTTGTTATCCCTTGGTCGTTTAAATAATAAATAAAGTAATGGCGGAATGCAACGTCATTAGGTGATGCTGGGAAAAATGTCATAACAGGCACATATTAAAAGTTTTCTTTATTAGTTTATTAAATTTCTTTTAATTAAATGTGTAAAATCAATCCACCTGTACTTGTGTTATCTTCATTTGCATCAAACTTAATTTTTATTACCTTATTAATAACTTAAATATTTGCGTTTTTAGGCACCGGACTAATTATTTGTTAATTATGTTCAGTTCTATTAAATAATTCTGTTTACAAAATTTCTAAACTAAAAAAAAATATATTTTGTAAGGACTTAATACAAACAGATTAATACCGCTAAGGTGTAAACCTGATTTTCTTTATAGTTCGTCGTTTCAGTAGTAATGAAATGTAGATTTTCTCTTTGTTTTATTCACTAATTAACTTTCCCTAGATTAACATGGTAATGACCGTTTGCCCACCAATGGGTCATTCCGCAGCAAAATTTCAGCCGTGGGCACTTTAATTGAAATAAATCTGGGGGTTACATAATGCCTACCTCAAATTATTAGGTTTTCAAATATCTCCCTTCCGCTTTTTTGCTCTTGGTTTATAATACAAAAAGGCGGAAGGGAGATATTTGACAACCTATTATTTCACACATACAACATACCTGAAAAATAACGTACTAAATTAACAACGAAGAAAAATGTCGCTCCGTATGTGTAAAAATGAAGGAAATAGTGGGAAATGTTTTCTTTTTTAGTATTTAGGTTTCAGGCTCCTCCGATGTTTTTTGCTTATTCTCAGAAAATTGTATGAGTGTATGTGTGTATTTTTGGATGAAATTTTTCGCGTATGTTTTTGAGAGCTTGGATCAATCTTTTTGATATATATTACTGTGAAAACTGCATTAATTTTGCAGGCAAATTAATGTAGCAGTAAATATAAACGTACCAGCAATGATTTCTGGTTTTCAAATGTTTATAATTTTGAATGTTACTTGCTATTTTCGAATGTTTGTTTATTAACTTCCCGTAGGGTAAGTTATTGTAATGGGCCGAAAATCGGAATTGAAAATTTTTACATTTCTCGACGTTTTGAAGGTTTCTGAACATTTTGGCATACCTCAGAAAAAATGGATGTGTGTGTGTGTATGTATGTATGGATACAAATTTTCGCCCACGTTTTCGGGCGTACGGATCAACCGATTTGAATGGTTTAAAAAACCTTCGATTCCTATTGATAAGGAGATGTGCTGATTAGTTTTTGGCAAAGGCAGGTCCTGTAGTTACGGAGATAAGGAGCAAAGAGTGCAGAAAATAGAAATCGAGTTTTTGAGAGAACGGAGCATCCGATTTGAATGATCTAAAAAACATTCAATTAGTAATGATAGGGAGAAAGGGTTATTAGTTTTTCGCAAAGGCAGGCCCAGCCATTTCGGAGATACAGAGCTAAATGTACAAAAAATGGCAGTTTTTGAGAGAACTAAGCGTCCGATTCAATTGATTCAAAAAACTTTCTGCTTGTCTTAACAAAATAATTGATTTTGAAAAATAAAATTTTTTGTTCATTTTTTTTTTTTTTTTTAAATTTTTTGTATATCGAAAATAATTCAGATTTTATTTTTAATTCTGACTATAGTTCTAATATATGTACTTTAAACAAATAATTTCAACTCTGCAATTCAGTTTATATAATTCTTATAAATATTAGACAATGTTACAATATTTATAATAATCTATTTGAAAACATTCAATATTCCTCGAACATTTTGTTACGGTAGGGTAAGTTCCAGCAATTTGCCTTAGGCATGATCCACCCACCCCCCTAGTTTGATATTTTTTAATCGTTCCATTAATTAGTCTCAAGGGCCAACGTAACGCTACGCATCACTATTTAGAAAGCTTTCTCGTTCATTTACTCATCATTACGTTTGACATGAACATCTCATTCTCATTCGAGTCATTCATTTTCCCCTGGGGCTCCCTGTGCCTGTGAGCTGCGACCGGAGACGAGCCGGAGCGTCTCTCCCGCTATCGTAAGAGATCGTCCCGCGATCTGAAGCGGCACCTCTGCTGCCTCTGCCGCCTCTGCTGCCTCCCGCTTCCCGTTACGCATTACGCCATGTTTGTTACGTCATCGAGTAGACCGCCGTCGGATGGTCGTGGCGGGCATGCGCCAACCGCGCCATCCCAGCTCCCGGGAAGTAGCATCCAAGTAGCACCCTCGCGGACCTCGAGTCAGTCCGGCGAAGTACACCGATGTCTGAAAACGTAGCACATTTCCGCGTAGCACGCTGCGATCGACAAACGCGGGAATTCTAAATCGGCGACGGACAGCCGAAACGAACTATCTGGCGTTCGGATTACGTTTCGATTGATTCATTTGTGATTGACGTGTTCAGATCGAAAATAAATGTGTATTTGTGTCGCAGATGGCATGATGGAAAGGTCGTACTCGGCACGTAGGATGCATTGAAGTAAGTCCCATTTATTAAGCTCACGGGAGATAATGGGTACGGGTCATGAGAGAGCGAACGTGAGATAACGTCTTAGGGAAGCGACGATGATGCGCTCACGCTGCTCACCTTCAAACTATTTAAATACAAAGTCTAGGTGGATATTCATGTGGTATTCAACAAACCCACGTACATAAAGTCCACTTACCTATCATAGGCTTTAAGTATTTTAAATATCGACTGTAATTTAACAAAAATTCCATCCATGATTTAACAATTTATTTGTGTTTTATAAATGTAAATAAGTGTGCATAGATGTCTTGCACCTGCATATGCAAAATCGTGCTACATCCTAAATAATATTACGTAATATATTATATTATTAATATATATATATATAATATATATATATATATATATGCGAATGTGTTGTGTGTGTTAAGAATAGTTGATTTTAATGTTGAAATGTATGAATTAAACTCGGAGAGCATCAAGTAAAAATTAGAAGGGCAAGATTTTAAAGCATCTTATTATTTCAGGCTTTGCGACATGAAATTCAATTCATCATGGGTAGATATGAAAACAATTTGAAAACTTGCATGTAAAACTACGACTGTCAGTTATAAATATTTAAATAATTCTTTTGTGAACACATTCAACTTATTGTAAGGCAAATCGGAATCTCTATTTCATATCAACATATAATGAAATATAATTTAATGTTGAAATGTCTGGAATAATAAGAATCATTTAAATCCTTCTTTTTTGACTCGATATATTACACCCTCCGAATTGATATATATATATATTAAAGGTATTATCACTGAAAAAAATGTTATCTAAATGGAAATATAAACACACTTCACTTTTTTTAACTATTTAACTATTTATTAAATAATATTAAAATTATAAACATTTCGAAACTAAAGTTTGTCTCGTCTCTAGTGTAAATACAAATAAATGAAATGTGTTCATATTTCCAAAGATCATATTTAACAAAATTAGTGATTGAGTCAATTCTTTTTCAAATACATATTGTATTAAGAAATAACGATCGGTAAAACAATAAATTAAATCTTCGCTTCAATT